CCACTGTATCTATAAAGGGAGCCATGTTTTTTGCTAGGTTGCTCCTCTGATCTGGATTACTAACCCCTCCTTCACTTCTTGCCCATTACATAGGAGGGTGTTCTTTTGTAGTTCACAAAAGGTAGCTGAGAAGACTATTAAGAGATTGTTTATATATCGAGTCAGTGTTACAAGGACACTTGAATTCTGGCAAGATAATGTTATTTTTGTGTACATGCAGAACTTGACTAAAACAAAATGAAGCCACCATTGGTCCATTAAGAACTGGTAGGATGCAATATACTATATTTTTGGGCTTAGATATCCTTTTAATTTTTGTTGTTGAATTTAGATATACTTTAAGGAGATCTAACCCCAAGCTTCCTCGCACATTGCACTGTGCTGCAATACACGTCCATTGGCAAGGTGTATTAGGCCCCATTGACACACGAATCGGCCTGCACGTACAGCTCAGTGCTGCGTGCGGGGCCGTACCAAGCAGCTGCCGGGAAGGACAGGTGCTGCGTGTGATTATCTCGCAGCCCCCGTCCTTCTCTATGGGGCTACGCGGCCGTACGCCCCCCTACGCTCACCTCAACTGCAGGTCCATAGGGGTGCGGGTTTTCTGGCCGGGACGCATACAGGATCCATTCGGGCGGCATATGAATACGCTCACCCGCACCCCTACAGACGTGCAGGGCGGGCCAGCGTAGGGCGGCGTACGGCCGCGTAGCCCCATAGAGAAGGACGGGGGCTGCGAGATAATCACACGCAGCACCTGTCCTTCCCGGCAGCTGCTTGGTACGGCCGAGCTGTACGTGCAGGCCGATTCGTGTGTGAATGGGGCCTTAAGGTGGCATTCAGAATACGGCAACATATGTAAGCCGCACATTATTGCAGCACAGTGGCGTGAATGGGCCCTGACACCCTATCTAGCAGCCAATATGAACTAGGTACTCAAGCTTGTTTGCACCAGTGGCAGCATACCTTCGTTTTCTTGTCACCTTCTTTCACTTCTGAAAAGTTTTCTTTGTTACATACACCAGATAATGCTTGCATAATGGTGGCTTTAAAAATGACTACTGTTTAACAACTGCTCAGTAAGTCATGAGTGTGACGATAATGGGGTTTGAGTCTATTAATATTAAATATAGCATTCTCTTGTACCCCAGTTCAAAGCAAATGCAGGCCTTTATTTAGTTCATTTTCTCCCCACATTCCAAAACACAGAGATCTGCTAATCTGGGCTGTGATCTTTATTGCCGCAGCACTACTTAGCAAGTGAGAATCCCAAATAACCCTCTAAACCAGTGGTTCTCAACCTGTGTAACCTCAGGACCCACATTTGTGTTCAGTCATTAAGTCACGACCCAAGTCGCACTGCAATGGAACGCATGGCATTGCTGTACCACGCGTTCCGATGTTTGCAATAGAACTGTGGGTGGGAGATGTATTTGGGGTGCCATTCAAAAGAGTGGCAATCCAAAGCATGGGACTGCGTGATTACCACACTGTACTAGTGTGAATGGGCCCTTAAAATGTTTTATTTTTTTTTAAATCCACCCAGTCACCCTATTTTTACGAGAACTGGAGTGGATACTCAGCCTGAGGTCCAGTGTGGGCTGCTGTGCTGTGATGGAGCTCCATTCATATGTGCATCGACTTGCAGCTCCCTTGTAGAGGTGTCAGGAGGCAGAATGCGAGATCATTTCGGTCCAAGCAACTCTGTAGGACATGCAAGGGAGCTGTAAGCAATGCACGTAGGGATGGCTCTCTCTGGCGGCCATACACCCAGCCCACCCCACCTCAAGCTGACACTCGGCACTGGTCAGCATATTTTGAATGGCTGCTCGCCGCAAGTACTGACAGTGCTGTGCTAGGGGGAGCCTCTCACCTAGAAAAGTGGAAGGCACACGGCGATCCACTGAACACGGGGTCGCGACCCACTTTTGGGTCACGACCCACCAGTTGAGAACCAAGGCTCTAAACCTTTTATGGCTGCCCCTAATTAAAGGCATGCAAGCAGGCACCCATCTATTAGCAGTTGACAAGTTGCTAAACACAAGCAGGTGTGGTAGATTTAATGATCCAGGTGACCCAGCATTCACCTAAAAGTCATAAACCTGAGTTGCAATATCAGCTCCATTTCCCAATTTGGAATTGGACAGTGATATTGTAAAATGAAGTTCACAAATAGCTGTGTATCGTCACAATGAGAACATAGATACCAAGAATGAATAGTTTCCAATGAGCCACAGCTGGACAGGCGACATTTACCTTCCTGGCCATCCCATCATTCATATCTTGGGCACATTTAGATTCAATCTAAAGGTTACTTCATGACACATTATAATTTAGGGGTTGCCGCACCGTATTAAATATAATACTCCACTATCATCTTAAGTTGTGAATTTAACCATTTGGGAGGAGTGGAGGAGGAAATTATAAAGGCTCGTCCCTCCTGCTCTTCCTACCCAGCCCTGCCCTAGGGGCCCACTATGTGACACCCCCTGAAGGGTTGACAAAAAGATGCTACCGAGGCAGCTAGAGAGGCTCTTGTTTTGAAACATCAAGAAAAGGAACTCCAGCAACAAGAAGTCTTAACATCCCAGAAGAGTTCCCCTTTAATATCTGGACATCATCTGTGCAAGCTTGCTTGAAGAAGAGCCCTCCAGACCTCTCTTTTGTTTATTGAACTTGGCCATTTCAGACCTGGCTATTATTGTGTGTTGTGTTAACGCCTGCGCATTAATGAGTGTTGTGTCACGCAATTTTTGTGTGTTGTGTTAAGGCAGTCCACTCATAAATTGGCTGCCAGTGCTCAAGAAGAGACAAAAAAACAGGCATGCAGCATTTTTTCCAACACAGAACACCACAATCTTCCTACGAAAACAGCGGCAATGCATACACCTGGTCATAATTTGCATAGACTCTAAGCATTGCACTATTGGATGCAGGGCGGGGGGTTTGCCAATCTTCATAAGGGCCTATTCTCACCCATTTACTTTGCCTGCTGATATGAAATCATCTTACATTCATTAGGTAAACAAACATATTTTATTTACAATTCCTTTTTTTTCCCACTTCTTGGTCTCCTTTGGCACAAATGATGTAATCATGCCCAAGCGATGCATCCTGGGAAGGTTACATCAGCAGAGCATTTCTGGAAAATCTTATCTGTAATCTCACAAGATCTGAGGGAAAGGCATTTTCCTCCCGAGATGATGTGCATGGTTACATGTCCTGGTCACATATGCCAGAAGATATATTAATCTGCCCTTACTAAAAATGGCCACTGTGAGAAGACTGGGGAAGAAAAGAAAAATAAAATATGCAAAGAATACAAAGCCGGCAATTATCTAGAAATATGTGTTTGTAGATTGTCATTACTAAACATTAAAATGACCCGATCCCAGAAGGGACAGGTGCTGCATGCATGGGAGGACACAGCTGCACGCAATTACAGGTGAAACTCGAAAAATTAGAATATCGTGCAAAAGTTCATTTATTTCACTAATGCAACTTAGCCGTCTACCAGGAGATTTTGGAGCACTTCATGCTTTCTTCCGCAGACGAGCTCTATGGGGATGCTGACTTCATTTTCCAGCAGGACTTGGCACCTGTCCACACTGCCAAAAAAAATCTGAGATTGTGGATTTGGGGTTTTTATGAGCTATAAGCCATAATCATCACAATTATGACAAATCACGGCTTGAACTATCTTGCTTTGCCTGTAATGAGTCTATCTCATATATTAGTTTCAACTTTCAAGTTGCATTAGTGAAATAAATTAACTTTTGCACGATATTCTAATTTTTCGAGTTTCACCTGTACATGCCGTCAAACACACACCTAAACCTGCCCATCTGTGTGGGTCCGGGTGCCCGCACTTAGAGACTCAGACAGTGCACAACCGTCTGAATGAGCCCTAAACATGTGTTGCATTAAGGCAGCCTATTCATTTTGTATGCGCCGCTAACCCACCAGAGTGGACAGGAAAATGTGCCTGCACTATTTTTTCTTATTCACTGCACCACAGCGCATAGTACAGCTTTACCATGCATTGCAGTGCACTCCAACACAAGTGTGTTGCCACAGCACATTGACATGACTAGGCCCTAATCAGGAATTGACTATTCAGTGAGCTATTTAATGGGCTTTATGAGTGCAATGAAGGGAGACTAAAAGTAGTAGTGTGTCCTATCAGCATATAGTGACTATTTTTTGGCTTCTTAAGTAAGCAAATGGGGCACTGTTTTTCTTTCCGCATATTTACAGGTTTCCCTTGGCTCCTTAGATGGAAAAAGCCAGTTGATTGCAGGCCTCAATAGCTTCAGCTGCAATTTATCACAGTTACTTATCCATTGTTTGACGGCTCCCACATTTTAGTCAAAGTGAGAAAAAAAGGCAGGAAAGCCTAGAGATCTGTAGCTGCTACATATGGCCTACAGTGCTCTGAGAATCCATTACAATGTATTTTATTTAAATTTGTAAAACACATATTTGTATGTATTAAAATCTCACAAACCTAAACAATTAAAATAAATCTGACCCAGATTGCTCATCTGACAGATATCACACCTTGCTGCTACAAGAACCCACCATCTGTAATCCTGGGTGGACCGCACATTTTTAAGGGGTTTATTCACAAAAGGGTGAAGAGTTTGGTGAAGGCCGGAGAAGTGAACAATATAGGACAACATAGCTACACTGAAAAAAATCTCCAATTCACCTCACCTTCCAGCTATGTTGTCCTAGATTGTTCACTTCTCCTAACTCTTCACCCTTTTGTGAATAGCCCTGTAAATGATGTATAATAGCATTGATCAATTGTTCTAAAATTGTATTTCCTGGTATAAAAGGCTGAACTTCAATATACAGTATGAATTCCCTCATCTCTTTTTCTCTGCATGATCATCTTGGGAAAACTGCTTAGCACATAATGGATAACTATCCTGACAATCTTTGAAGGAAAAGGTTTATATATCTACTTCCCGAAGCTTTGCTGTGCAAGAGAAGATTTAATTCATTTGTTAAAAAAAAAAGAATGGACCAAGATCAGAAAATGGTAAGGACTCTGACTGTGGTATGTACAAAATATCTTAGCACTGTTTAGTACTTTTAACAAATGCAAAAGTACTGGTGTGTACACCACAAAAAGTGGTGTAGTGGTTAGCACTTCTGCCTTGTAGCACTGGGGGTCCCTGGTTTGAATCCTGGCCAGGTCACTATCTGCAAGGAGTTTGCATATTCTCCCTGTGCTTGCATCAGTTTCCTCCCACACTCCAAAGACATGCTGGAAGGTTAATTGGTTCCTGTCTAAATTGGCCCTGTATGTATGCATGTGAGATAGGGACCTTAGATTGTAAGCTCCCTGAGGGCAGGGACTGATGTGAATGTGTAAAGTGCTGTGTAAATTGTCGGTGCTATATAAATACCAATAATAATATGTAATGGCTTCAAAAAACCTGTGATACCCCATTTGTGGTAAAGGCAATTCTATCAAAAGCAGTTATTCACTGCACAATACCGTTCACTGAGCAGTAATCCCTCTGTGTATAGCTGGCCATACACCTTACAACCATTGCACAGCTTTCGTTGTGCGATGGTTGTAAGGTAATTAAAATTTCGAACGATCTACCCATCTTGGACAGGCAGATCATACTTGCAATCATTGCAAGCCTGCCCTGCTGTGGGGAGGGCTTCCGATGATTGCAGTGTGTGCTTGCACACACCGGCCCCTGCAGCATTCTTCTCCCAAGCATGCCACTAACCCGCCAAAAATCGTACGATTTTCGCAGGTTTTCAAGCATGCTCAGAAGATGAATGTCGTGCAACCTTACAGTAGAAGGCACGCTGCCCATACACCTACCGATAATCGTACGATCATCGGCAGGTGTATGGGCACCTTATTATTCATGGCACAGCATATCTGCAGAACACAACTGATATTGGTTATGGATTCATTGAAATAACGATGAGCTAAACTTACCTGGGCTTGGTTCACCAAACTGCACAGAAGTTCTGAATGTTAACCTGAACACCATTGAAGTAAATGGGAGGCAAATCTTTAAAGTTAATTCTAGCCATTCTCTGGGCCAATTTGCCAGCTTTGGGGTAAAAAAGGGACATGGTGAGCTGGGCACTGCCATAAAAAAGGTTTTTTTTTTTTAAAACTCTCTGCTCTGCAGTGAGCAGCTCTTTTAATAATGCTTTAAGTGAAAAATGCAAAATTCCTTTATATGCTTGGGAACGTCCTAAGCCTGCCTGTAAAGTGGCGCATCTGTACAATGTACACAATGTACTACAGCAAAACTGACATTTAGAAAGAAAAAATAGCTGGTAAATGACATTTTCCTACCTGTATAGTTAGGAAAAAAAAGCATGGGGGTGGCTGATAGCATGCCCCCCACCATACCAGGCAACATGCCCTCTAACATGGGGATGGTATCCTCCCAAGGGTGGCACCTGGCAAGGCACTATGTTCCCATGTTGATGGGAACAAGAGCCTCCTCCCCACATACCTGGCTCGGTGGATATGAGGTTCTGCGGGGGTAAGCAGAACCTCATATGAAATCTGGAAGCCCCTTTTAACATAAGGGTGCCCTCAGATATCCACCCCTTTTCCTACGTGAATGAGTAAGGGGTACTTAGTACCTCTTATTCATTCACAAAAAAAGCATAGCGTTAAATAAAGACACACAAGTCCATTACTAAAAAAAAATGTCCAAGCGATGTAGATCCACGTCAATCACGAGAAACTACACCTGTCAAATAAAAAGCACACCAACCACTGAGACTCCATGGTAAATGTTGGTCAATGATCTCACCAGTATGCCTGCCCCATTGTATACATTCAGCCACAGGGCTGGGAATGCCCCAGGTGACAATTAAATGGATGCTGGCAATTGTCCAAATATAAACATGGAGCATCAACAGTTGGTGGGGGTTTTTTGTCATGATTGGCGCTGATCCACAGTACATCACTCTGACTTTTTGTCTTTTTAATAGTGGACTTGTCAAAAACATATGTCTTTATTTTACACTATACCGTTTTTTTTGAATGAGTAAAGGGTACTATGTATCACACCACCTCTTTGTTTACTTTCAACTGCGGAGTGGGTCAGGGCATGACTGTGCCATAGCTGCAAGAAGTCAGGGTGCGTCACTGGTTAACTATTAACCAGCGGCCCTTAGCAGGAAGCTCTTACTTATAGTAGTAGCAGTAATAGCACCACTATATGTAGCACTTACCGCAGGATATTCAGCTTCCACCTCCTGGGTTTGTAAAAGCATTTGCCACACAGATGGTGGTTTTTCATCCTATGCGAAGAATAGATCTAAATGAGGTGCTAGTGCCCGGAGTCCAGCTTTGACTTTCCTGCCACCCGTGCCTCTGATCTTTACTTTCTTGCAGAGCCACAGTCGCTGGCAGAATCTTCAGCACCACTATTGCCTACATGGCCACCATTATTTTCCAGTACTGCCTTAACACTCTAGGGCATGGAGTTCACCAGAGCTTCACAGGTTGCCACTGGAGTCCTCTTCCACTCCTCCATGACGACATCACGGAGCTGGTGGATGTTAGAGACCTTGCGCTCCTCCACCTTCCGTTTGAGGATGCCCCACAGATGCTCAATAGGGTTTAGGTCTGGAGACATGCTTTGCCTTCGGGGGCGTGACCCAGGAAACGCGTTAAGGCAGGCATTCTGTGCTGGCACACAGGCTGACTGTGCAGCTTCACACTGATGTCCTCCACGCTTTTGTTGAATGCTCTTATTTGATCCACCATTGTGAGTATGTTTCTACTGTTTTGCTGCCATTTAATATTAAAAACAATCTGCACTAGGGTGGGCGCCCTTCTCTTTTGTTTTCTCATAGTGTTACAGTTCCCCTAGCTGAAGTGGGGCAGCGCCCCTAGTAATCCTTTCACATGCACTTTTCGGTTGATGTTCCTATTTGGCGCTTTTGATTTGTGTATTCTTTTACACCACACACAGTTGTGAACGGTCGGCGACGACGGCAAACTGCACCACACACAGGTGTGAACGGTCAGCGACGACAGCAAACTACACCACACACAGGTGTGAATGGTCAGCGACGACAGCAAAATGCACCACACACAGGTGTGAACGGTCAGCGACGACAGCAAGCTGCACCACACACAGGTGTGAACGGTCAGCGACGACGGCAAACTGCACCACACACAGGTGTGAACGGTCAGCGACGACGGCAAACTACACCACACACAGGTGTGAACGGTCAGCGACGACGGCAAACTACACCACACACAGGTGTGAACGGTCAGCGACGACGGCAAACTACACCACACACAGGTGTGAACGGTCAGCGACGACGGCAAACTACACCACACACAGGTGTGAACGGTCAGCGACGACGGCAAACTACACCACACACAGGTGTGAACGGTCAGCGACGACGGCAAACTACACCACACACAGGTGTGAACGGTCAGCGACGACGGCAAACTACACCACACACAGGTGTGAACGGTCAGCGACGACGGCAAACTGCACCACACACAGGTGTGAACGGTCAGCGACGACGGCAAACTACACCACACACAGGTGTGAACGGTCAGCGACGACGGCAAACTACACCACACACAGGTGTGAACGGTCAGCGACGACGGCAAACTACACCACACACAGGTGTGAACGGTCAGCGACGACGGCAAACTACACCACACACAGGTGTGAACGGTCAGCGACGACGGCAAACTACACCACACACAGGCGTCAGCGATGACGGCAAATGAACGGTGAACTTGGTGAAACCCGCAACAAAGTGCTGAGGTGTGAATGGGAGCTAAAAGCTGCTTTCCAGAGTTCTGTGCACGGATGGGATGGATTTTATAGAACTGCAGACCTTTCTGTACATATTGTAATTTACATTTACATACATTTGACTGCATACAAATGAATATGTTCGTACGCAGTGCCAGCTTTTGAGGTAAAATAAGAATCGGCACTATTATCCTACAGCACCGTCATTACACAAGAGCAGCGATAGCCAGGAAGGGGGTTGGGCACCTTGCAAGGAGCTCTGCAGTGTCTGCAGTATGGAGTGTAGGACAGGAGTCCATGGACGCCGCTGGTCATGGTGACTATAGAGTCCTTGTGAAGGTTCGGCAATGGCCTCTACAGACACACACACAGGCGCCCTGCTCCCTCCCGGCTCCCCGGTACAGATGGAGGATGACGGGGGAGGGGAGGAGAACCGAGCAGAAAGCACCCATTACAGCCAGGTAAGAAGCCGCACCGGGGACGTCTGTGCGTCGTGACGTCACGAAATGTGACAATAGCTGAATGTGGACGTATACATAGTAATAACGGTATGTGCTGTATGAGTGTATGCTGGGATTGTGTCCTTCAAGGACCTCATACACAGCACTGGGCACGTTAAAATATATTCCCTGTGGTAGAATTACATTTCCTGCATCATGTTATCTATATGCTGCTGGGTAATGTCTCTACAATATGCTAATATATTGTGCCAATGTACCCACAGTAAGAGCATGTGTAAACCCTATTTAATGAGTCATTCAGGAGGCATGTTCACTGAACGCTTCGGCTGCACAGTGCTAAGCAAAATGGCGGAGGATAATATTTTTTAACCAATAAATGCCATTTATCAACAAATATTTGGTGTGCACATCCACCAAAACATGATATTGTAGGTTCCATCACTGAATTGATTTCCTCCGTCAGGGGTTTAGGCACCTTTCTTGAGCACTGCCAGGTGTGCCCATAGTTAAAATGGCCGCTGGTGCTGTGTCCCTACCTTCTCTGTCACACTCAGCGCTCTGCATCCACATTAACTTCCGCTGCGAGCGCTAAGTTAGCAGTGCTGAGTGATGACTTGCAGCACAGCGTTCAGCGGCGGTTTGACAACTCGCCACTCACAGCAGCTGAGCAACTAAATAAGCCTCAGGGATTTGGGGTTTTGGAAGAGCGGCCTGCTTATGGCTCTACTAGATGCACTTAGTAAGGCGCCGGACTCGGGGGCTTAGTAACGCCCCGGACTCAGGAGAACTTGAAGAGCCGCGGGAGAGGCGGAAGAGAATCGGTGGTGCCAACGAAGCCAGCGCTAGAGGAAGCGAGGCGGCAGCGGGGGGAGCAGAGCCGCATAAGCCGATGCTGCCTCTATCACAATCCCAGGACGTAGAAAGTATGTGTGGGGGTTTGGCTGGGTGACACCATTGGGCTGATTTATATAAATTCCGCCAAGCGTAAAGCTGCGCAATTGCAGTTCACAGGATAGTGACTGCTGCCACTAGATACAGTCCGTGTACCCATCGCACTCAGAACCGCTGCTCCATGAGATAAGAAGTGGGTGCATCAGGTGTCAACAGGTGGCTTCCGTCATCACTGCGCCAAGCTTGCTCCCGTGATGGACTACAATCTCAATAGAAACTAGTAGTCCATCACTGAACCCTTTTCTTTTTTTATCCGATTAGTCGATTAATCGAACTTAATAATCGGCTAACTAATCGATTATGAAAATAATCGTTAGCTGCAGCCCTAGTCTATTTATTCACGTACTTGTTGCAAATGCAAAACACAAGATACATGATGATCACTTGTTTGCCTGATGAAGGGTATCCTGTGAGACCCCGGGTGTTTTGCATTTGCAACAAGTACGTGCATAAATAGACCTACTGGATTTGCTTTGGAGTGCCGGTGTGCATACTTTACTTATACTGCTGCCACTAGATGGCGCTGAGGAGCATCGGTCCTCGGCTCCATCTAGTGGCGGTAGTGCTGTATGAATGGCAGATTTCTAACTCAGCCCCCATGAGTTGCATGCTGTGGCTATGCATTTATGAAGGTATATGTATTATGTGGCTGTTTAATGTTCATCGAGTGCTTCCAGGGTGAACTTCCACTTTAATATCTCTCAAAGCTACTGTACTTCCCAATACATAAGTTAACACTGTCAAATGTTTATAATAACACTTTAAAATTATTTTTATTTTTTCATCAGTTGGAAAACCTAATACTGCATGAGTACCGTTAAGCCTAGCTTGGCATCTGAATTTTGCTTTGAGCTTTGTATAAATACATAGCAAATCTGTTCTCCCATCAGGATTATTGCAGTCTGGTAATCTTTTTACCTAACTACGGTGGCTCAAGTTCAATTTTTTTCCTGGTCAGCTTCTATTATGGTTAAACCTATTACCAGGGTCATGGGAAATACATTTTCAGTCTTTGTAATGTAGTGATTGAAGATACTGTGCATTTGTATCTGTTTCTTGTTAAAATGTAGCTGTCATAATATATAAAACATAAAATATGTTTTAAAATGTTAACATAAACATTTCTCGAATTTAGTGTTTTGATAGTGACGCAAGTCTTTAAAGTGTGTTTTTTTTTTTGTTAGTTGACCACATTCTGGGTAGTCAAGTCGTTTGAGGTGAACAGATATGTAGTTTTATTGTAGTGTATGGCATTTTCTGTTTTATGGTAAACTCTCAGGGGCAGGGCCCACCTTACCAAATTGTTTTGAATGTTATTGTAACTATAATGTCTTCCTTATATTGTAAAGCGCTGCGCAAACTGTTTGCACTATATTAATCCTGAATAATAATAATAGTGGTGACTGCAAATTGCAGAAATAGATGGCAGATATATTGACATTTATCCACTTTAAACGGGTTTATAGCAATGCAAAAGATGCTTTAGGCAGGTCAGAAGGAGATCAACTGCACCTCACAGACATTAGTCAATGCATTCTGAATGATCTCAGAAGCGTTTCAAACTGATGTCAAACTGATTTAATAAGCACAAGCACAAAGCCCATCGACATGCTTATAGGCTGTTTCAGCTTATCAGTTTAGTTAAAGGAGAATTATGAGGTGAGTGATTTGCACTCATCCTCATAGTTAGAGCCGACCTGTGACAATGACACTGTCACACGTCGGCTCAATAGATCGGGAAGTGAGCAAACACATACCGTCGTTCACTCACTTCTCGATCATCTGCCTGCAGAAAGCCGTGACTGTCAGTCACCACTCCCTGCAGGGATCCCCCCCCCTCCCCTCTATGATCCTCCAGTGCTAACTTGAGGAACGGAGAGGGCAGGTACAGCTGGCTCTGCCTCTAGATAGGCAGAGCCAGCTGTCACTCACACAGCTGGGTGGATCCAGACGGTATTGTTGGGATCTATTTATGCAAAAAAGAAAAGGGAACATAATGGAGTTACGCCAAAGCAATATTAATATATAGTATACCAGTCCCCAGGGTTTCAGCAAAACTATTCGAAAAATGGATTGTCCCCAAATTATAGAAATCCCTTATTCGGAGCTGGTTCAGTAAACAGGTAGAAAGGTATATCATTTATCAAATTTAATATTTAATCGTAGAAAAACTTAAACAATACATCCACAACAAAACATTTAAAAACAATTAAAAAACTTCCCTTGGGTAAACAGTGGTTAAAGAATCATGGATGATCTGCAGGCCAACTAATGTGGCATGAAAGGTTAGAGCAGATACATACAATGTAATTCATGTACGGATACAGAGTACATTTACTGCTCATCCCGCACATTAGTCTTTGCAGAAGCATTGTTTAGCTGGGCTTCGAAGTGCGGAGACAGAGCGCAGCCGGCTCGGATATGGTCTGAGTCTAGCTGCATCGGATTTTACATCAATCCAGCAGAGATTGAGAGAAAAAACGACCGGACGACAGTTTGCGCTATCTACACAGCCTGTGGATCCAATACGGCACCTGGAAACTTTCCACCGTCGAGACTCCTGCATCTACCTTTCCGCTTTGTTCACTGTGCGGCCGCACACACATATATGGAAGTGCTTTTGGGATAGCTCTCAAATTTGAAATTCAAGCCCGAGGGCTAGTGAGAGTCCCAAGCAGGGGAAAAGGGAAGGGCGCTTACATTTTTTAGCCCTATTCACATATCCCTATCTCTGGATCCCAACTACTACTACTGGATACGCTTATTGAAGCAAATTAAATCATTCAGCGCTGTGGGACTCGAGCAGGACTGTCTCTCCCCGAGCTCCCTGAGTTACATGAGCTGTGAGTAACTTGGGATACTCTGTATCCGTACATGAATTACATTGTATGTATCTGCTCTAACCTTTCATGCCACATTAGTTGGCCTGCAGATCATCCATGATTCTTTAACCACTGTTTACCCAAGGGAAGTTTTTTAATTGTTTTTAAATGTTTTGTTGTGGATGTATTGTTTAAGTTTTTCTACGATTAAATATTCAATTTGATAAATTATATACCTTTCTACCTGTTTACTGAACCAGCTCCGAATAAGGGATTTCTATAATTTGGGGACAATCCATTTTTCGAATATTGTTGGATCTGTCTCTGCTGCGGCGGTCTCAGTATACAGTGAGCTGTAGCTCGCAATATACTGAGCTTTGGGTCACGGGAGGACGCTAGTATATGTCCTCCCGTGACCCTTAAGAGAACTATGGGGGAAAACACTTACCCCATAGTTATCTTTTAAAAAGTCACAGTCAAACATATTCTTGCTGGATGAAAGAATAGAGGAACAGCTCCAAACCTAAAAAGTGTTAATTAAAATTAACACGTTTTAGGTTTGGAGCTGTTCCTCTATTGTTCTCACTGCAGATATAAGCAAATCACCACCCTATTTTATTGTATCTGATGGACATTCTGTAGCTTTGGACAAATAATGTATATGAATAGCCAAAACCTTTTTTTTGCATTTTTGGATAGAGTAGGAAAGCCCTGCCTAGTTATTTCTGCTTCCAGGGGGGAAATTTCCCAAAGTGAGGGAATTCCCGTCTCAGACAGCCGTCCCTCGTACAGGAGTCTACATTGGAAGATTTCCCCTCTCCTCAAACATTTTGAGTTTCCCCTCTTTCTTTCTCAGTGACAATGAGGGGTGAATCTCCCCACAAACAGCAACACAAACTTGACAGTGGGTCTAACTCTTACCCACACTATCCAATACTAACAAAAAGTTTTGCCTAGAGATACAAAAGCGTGCAAAAGCTCTGGAATATCTTGGTTTATATTGTTAGAAAAGTGTTAGACGTATCTGAGTAAAATCACTTGGGCAGCGCAGCCACAGCCAATGTCTATTGCTAATGTGCCTATGATGTGGTGAGTATCCAGATCAAAATGGACTGTTGGTTTAAGTGATCAGAGCCATAGAAAAACAGAAAAAATACAATGACTTTGTTATTCATTAGACGCTATAAGCAAGTAGATGCTGGTTGGGGCTCTATTGCTCAAAGGTTTAATTCGGCTACTTCAGATAATGAGTTGTATGTTGTATTTTTGTAATATAAAAAAGTGACTTTGCTTTACTTCTTTGTTTTAGGGATGGGTGCTGCTTCTTACTATGTGCGCTGCTGGTATTGGGGGAACCTTTCAGTATGGATATAATCTTACCATAATCAATGCCCCCACAACTGTGAGTATGCAGCTATTGAAAAAGAATATAGTCTCATGTTTTTCTTTCCATTGTTTCCAACTAAATGTGCATGGGGAATTTAAACTGGGCATGTGATAGGAAAATATAAAGCATAGCTTACCTTTACTGTAAACTGAATGGGCAGGTAAATATAAATGCAGATCTTCATTTTTCCTGTAAATGTTGTCACTGTCCTTGTAACGCTCAAGCCGAGGAGGTTAGGTTGGATCACAGCTGCGGAATTAACTAAGCACCTGTGTGTGTGATTTGGCTCAGATCAAGGGTTCCCGTATGCACTCTGTATGTGGAGGAGTGATGGTGGAACCCTCTAACACATCATATGCCAATCACAGTGTAGGATGGGAGGTTGGGAGTCCCACCTAGGTATGTTAGCAGTATTTCATATGGATGTGGTCACCCACCAACAATCAGATCTTATGAGTACTATTTAGTAACTGTAGTCACATTAACCCCACACTCTCCAGGGAGACAACTTAGAGAGGTTGTATAAGAACCACAGTATTGCCTTAACTGATACAATTGCAACGGAGTAGCAGTATGATGGTATCACTTTTAAGCAGATGCAGATTTGAATTACTGCTGACACTTGCTATAGTTTAGCCTCAAAGGCATAGGTACTTGCAGTTATGATGGTTTATCAGTCCAGTAGCTAGCCCGGAAGCTGCTGTTGGGGATTCCAGGCAGTCCCAGAGAGGGGTCTCAGCGGCTATCCGAGTGTGGAGTTAGATGAGAGCAGGGAGCGTTCCCTGTGAAGCACCCGGTGGTGACCGCAGGGCGGTTATTTGAGGTGAGTGGCTGGTTGGCCTCAGAGATGCCGGTTCACGTGTCCTTTGGTCTCAGGCAAGTTGCACTGGCTCGACGTTCGCAACACTAGAACGCCGAGCCATTGCAACTCGCGTCATTTTAAGGAGGAGGAGATCCCGGAGGGGGAGGAGCCGAGCGCGCCGTGCTCCACCTCGGTCTCCTAGTGACGTCACGCCGCTGGTTGGAGAGGCCGGCGGATACCCTATTACAGTCCTCTTCTACCTATTGGTGGGTAAAGTCACTCATCACATTAGGGGGTGATTGACACCATATGCGTTGGGGCAGGGCTGGCCGTTGTGTCTAGCACAGCCCAAACGTTCCATGACAAGGCAATTTGCCTAGTCATGGAGGAGCTTGGGTCACACTATGGGAACGCGGCGGTGTGCACTGAAAAACAAATATGGCATGCTGTATTTTTTTTTTTCAACAACGTGGGATTTGACACGGAACAACCAACTCACACCCAGCTCTGCCCGTAGAACTGAATGAAATGTTACTTGTGACTTTTCAATAAAGTTCTACCAAAAAAAAGTGCACAGTGCGACGTGTGTGCCTTTAGCGCAGCAGCTGGTGGGTATTGGCCCTAATAGAGAAACAGCGAGGCTCAGGATAGGATATTGCTTTGGCATGAAACATCAAGATATACATATAATGTGAATATGCTGTATCTCTGGATCTGCATACTGTTTTAACTGAATGAAAAGTTTGTGTTTTGTTTAGTTTTCAGGGCCCAGGTTTGTGTTAGGTTTACTTTCACTGTCATTCTTTAGTAAAAATATGGTCAAAACTAAATTTTTTGTAGCTCTGTATAGAGTGGGGAAGGATTAGAATCCCTGTTGGGTTTTACTGCTATCCAGGGCTCTCTGGAGTGATTCCCCCTCACTTCCTGTCTCAGTGACAACTGTTTCACCAGACTGGGAATTCTCCAACAGCAGAACACCCAGAAATGAAAATGCTTTTTTTGTTTAAGTAGGGAAAGGCTAGAACCCCTGTCGGCTTTTCTTGCTTTGTCCCTGTTGCAGATTTTACACCACTTCCTGTCTGGTGAATCTTTGTCACCATGACAGTAAGTGAGAGGAAAGCTCTCTAATGGAGCCCCAGATAGCAATTGAACCTGATAAGGATTCTAATCATTACTTACACTATCCAAAACTAAAAATATGTTTTTGCTTAGACTATATGGCTTCAGATGGGGAGGGATAGATTTATGATTAAGGCTGGCCATACACTTTTTGAATTTTAGCAGAGTCCTGCTGACTCGGCCAAAAATTCAAGCTCTGTGTGGACTTCTGGGACCTCTTGACTTGACAAAAGTCGATTATTCAATCAATTTTTGTCAATGTAGCCTGGCCGAAAATTGTCGGCTGAACAGTGACTCTGCGGCCAATCAGCTGCAGCCACCATTTGGGTATTCTGCTGGCTGTTAAAATATAATAGCCAGCAGGGGAGTTTTGTCCATCCACGCTTAACATCGTGTTCATCCACCCTAAGGAATCTGTTAGACTTCTTTTATTCTATATGTTACCCGAAGGAGAACTATGGGGAAAAACACTGACCCCATAGTTCTTCTTTAAGTATGAGCTTTGTAACAAAATATAAGAGAGCATTGTCTTATTGGATAAGTAGAGCCATTTCAGTGTGTGTGTGTGTGTGTGTGTGTGTGTGTGTGTGTGTAAATATATATATTTTCATTGCCCAAAGCTGTTCACATTCCAATTTATTAAATGACACTACAATGCTTATCAAAGTGCTTATCATTGCTGCCACACTACGAGTGTCTCAGTAACAATTATGTTCTTCTCACTCCTGTTACAGCATATTCAGAAATTTGTGAATGAAACATTGCGGGAACGCAGAGGATCAGAGTTGGACAGTTGGATCATCACCCTGATCTGGTCCATAATAGTGTCTGTGTACCCACTGGGTGGGTTCCTGGGAGCACTGCTTGCAGGTCCAATGGCTATCAAGCTTGGACGGTAATAAGTATTTGAAGTAGCACTGCTTTTGAAATCTGTGACTGTATCTTCCTATAACAATAAAACAATGAGGGCTTGCTTTGTTATGCAGTGATCTCTCAAGCAGGGGTTCTCACTAAAGCTGGCCATATACTGCTGTATTTTTTCCCCTGATGTTTCTTTGTATTCTGACAGCGGCCACCAACTGCTGTTACGATACCCGAACAGAAGCATCAGTTCATTGGCTTAGAATTTCCGACTAGCACCTTCTATCAGCTGATGCTGGACAAAAGGGTGCCGGCAGGCCGGCAGTTTTTCCAGGAATCGGGTGGAATTCACACTTTGTATGACCACCTTAAGATTTACCTCCAGCTTGTTAGATTACAAATGAAACTCCAGGAAAACAGATAAATAAAAATGAAAATATATCATATTTACTGTTTTACTTGCGAAATAATTTTTGATTGTGAATAACCAGCCTCACTTATGTCACACTCCACAAACTGACAGGTGACACCATTAAGCTGGCCACACACTGCTCAAATTTTGCAAAATGTGAGCATTGGGGGACCCTGTCAGCCCCCCTTGACGAAAGGTCAATGTTTCAGTTGGCTTATGTCGAAGGAGCTAGTCTGAAAATTCTCAGCTGAACAGTGCCTGCATCCGAGCACAGGAAGGCAGTCTTCGGGTATTCAGCAGCCACTGCTGAATACAATAGCTCGGCAGGGAAGATCCATGCCGTTTAGCGTAAACGGGGTAATTAAGTGTTTTTTCTCGAAAAAACACCAGGTTTATGGCCAGCTTTATTTTTTGGTTCTGCAATGTACTGTAGCTTCCTGTGTTACCTCCTCACCTCCAGAGAAGCTTAATCAGGATGCAACAGAGCGATTTTCCTGGCTGATGTGTGTAAATCACAACAGTACCCAAACAAAATGTAAAAAAAGGTAAAACAAAAAACTTACATGTATTTGATTTTAGGGATTTGATATTTTAGGATATAAATGTTCAATGCAGGACAAACCAACACATTTACTTCAATGCCCCCCTTCCCAGCAACATATATTCACCTTTCCTATGCTACCCTGCAAATGCAGTCAGCCACTGAGAGTGAGGAAAGAAGCAAAGAAGCCTTTTGTAAGTTCCAAGTTGGTCCAGTGAGAACTTACAAAGGGCTTAGGTCTCTTGCCCTCATGAGACAGCGCTGAGCCAATGACCAAACACAAATGCTGTATTCAGGGGCATCCCGAGGCCGGATGTCACCCGGAGCGGATACCGGGTGATACCCCACCGTGTCGTCATCGCGCATGTGTGATGACGACGCTGGCAGAGGGAGGAGAGGACGTTCACCCAGCGGGATAAGGTATGCTGCCGGGTCCCTTCCTGTCCCCCGATACTGTTGTGCTCCATGACAGAGTGCCCGACTTTTCAGAGGGGGTGTCACCAAATTGACTGTTAGTCATTTTGGTGTCACCCGGGTGCGGGAAGCACCCCCCTTGTGACGCCACTGGCTGCATGCTGTCACATGAGAGGAACTGGAATGTGTCCCATGCTCCTCTGTACCTTTAAAGTACTGGGTATTTATTGGTTCACAAGGAAATTGAATGAGAGAGTGAAAGAAAGAGAAGTATGTGCTGCTGGGGATGAGAGCTCTAAAGCACACTTTTGCTTTATCCTGCACGGATGGCCAGAGGCAAAGATACAAGTCAATGCAAAATGTAATATACTGTATGTTGTGGCACAAGTTCCAGATCATTGAGACCGCTTTTTCAAAACATAGTTGCAGGTTCCTTAATGCAGCAGTATGTTCTCTCTGCAGAAAGAAGTCTCTGCTCTTCAATAACATTTTCATAGTCCTGTCAGCAGTGCTCTGTGGTTTCAGCCATCTCGCCAAGTCTTTTGAGATGATCATACTGGGAAGAATATTGGCTGGGGTGAATTCAGGTGAATAATTTATGAAATAACACACAAAGGTTGAAAAAGGCAATAGGGATGTTTCAGCACAAAACTGAAAAGGTTCAATCCATGATAGCTTTAATATGAAGTACCTAAACCTCTTTTCTGAATTCCTAAGGAGCAGCTAGCTGTCCAGTGAAATTTTAAGCAAGGATCATCTTGTACAATGTATGTATTAACAACCAATGAAAAAACTTAACATGCTATTCTTAAATCATCTCTTCCAGTCTTACCTGCAGCAAATAATATGATCATACAGTTAGTGTTATTAAACCCTCTTACTTAAAATGCATATATGACCTCAGTGCTTAACATGTTTAATGTGTGCCTTCCTTGTGAAGCTAAAGTAGAATAAACAGAGGATCGACACTGGGCAGATCTTCAAGCAGTTGGTTTATTCAGCCAGCCGGGAACACACAGCAATTCTGGCTCGTTCAAATAATATGGGCTCACAGACCCATTTTTATAGGGTTTTGGAAACAAAATAATTACAGTATATATGTTACTTTGGATTTTTTCCAAAAATCAAATAAAAATGCCACTTGTACTCACATTTAATTGTACCCAGATCATTGCATGGGTCTTCCTTTAGGGCCGGTTTACAGCAGTGCCGATGCGTTCCAGCACGATTCGCTGGTGGAACGCATTGGAGCACATCCCGGTCAGCTTCCTGAATTAGGGGGCGGGAGGGGGCGTGGCGGTGCGTTGGAAATCGCCCGCACTAGAACACGTGGCACATCAGTGACTGCATTCTGGTCCAATGCGATCTGAAAAATAGCGCATGCAGATCTCTGAAATGCATCCGTCCTGGTGTGAATGGGGCCTTAGGCCACATTCTCACCAGGATGGAAGCGTTTCCGCACGATTTGTAAAAGGGCCTTTTTAATTGTGTTTCAGTGTTTCAGTGAAACGCAATAAAAAAAAATCTATGGAAACGCGCTCATCAGTGCAAAAAAAGTAGCTCAGGGAGCATTTAGGGTGGCAGGGGGTTCAGATCGCGCGGTGCCGCCCAATTGCATGAACGGTCTCCATAACAATGTATGGGATTGTTTATGTTGGAGGTTCAGCGCAGACACATCCATATGACCAAACTGCCCTGGTTTGAACGGGGCCCCAGACAGTATGGACCTGATGTCATTGTATGTAGAGAGACTGTGAGAACTGACTATACCTTCAAAAGTGTGATTTTCAGTCTGAATTTTAACAGCTACTAACTAGGGATTGCTTGAAATCTGTGACACGAGAGTGGGAGAAACAAAGCTTACAACAGATTCTACGCACAGGTCCTCGTAGAAGGGATAGCAAGATGAATGGCAAAATGCAATAACAAATGCATTCATAACAAATTAATGAATTCATAACACTTATGTAATTATTTGTGTTATAAACTTTCGTTTCTGCTTTCTCTTTATCATCTTTATGGTGTATGATATGTAAATTACTGTTTTTTTACCATGCAATAACTTTGTATGTAAGCTACATGATTAGAATAAGGTTAGAAAACTCTCATACGTAACACACCTACATATTCTGCATATATGTATATATTTTGGTTTTGTTCATGAAAGGTATGTCAAAAATAGCTTTGTTCTTTTACCATCTTCTTCTTGTTCAGGTGTCAGCATGAATATCCAGCCTATGTACCTTGTAGAGAGTGCCCCTAAGAAGCTCCGTGGCACAGTAACTCTATCTTCTGCTGTTTTTACTGCCTTTGGACTGGTGATGGGGCAGGTAGTGGGAATCAGGTAACACAATGGTGCAAATGTGATCACTCTCAAATAGCTAACATTTCCCTTTCATTTCAAAGCAAGTAAATAAATACACACGTAAATACATATACAGTATGTAAACTGTTTTACCTGCAATAGGATTCTTCATTTTCTAAATCCATCTTGTGATTTAGCTACTCCTGCCAGTATTATTATTATTATACAGGATTTATATCACGCCAACAGTTTGCGCAGCGCTTTACAATATAAGGAAGACATTACAATACAATTCAAGACAAGATGGTAAGGAGGGCCCTGCCCTTGAGGGCTTACAGTATGGTCACTTACCCTCCCCTTGTCTGTTTTTTGGAAAATAAAGGAACACCTCCACACTAATAAGGTCATCACTCTTCAAAAAAAGAGACAATGGCCGCAATCTACCAGTGTTTGATTGACAGCACTGAGCAATGTAGTGGAGCTCTGAATAGCTCAAAGTGCATGCCCACCCTCTCATTCTCTAATATACGAGATTTAAATACTTTTACTTGCAATGTTAAAAGTGCATTTTAGGTTTATTTGTTTGGGTTTTATTTATTTGTTTTTAATTACTGTATCAACCCAGACAATAATTAAAGGTTCAATGCACCCAAAACTGATATTTTAGTAGACGCTTCTGAGTTCAAACTATTTAATGGTATCTTATTTTGGGGAACACAGTGGAAAGAGCGCTGCACTTGCGTTAGGTCTGCACACTGCCATTTTTATGTTGCAATATCATTTTCCTTATCAAATTATTATTTATTTTATATTATAAATAGCAGGAACACTGGGAACCTCTAACTGGGCAGAAACAAAGCTAGATCTTGAGCAGGGAGCTCACCGCTGGCGTGTGTCTGGCTATATTTCACCTGTAACAGAAATATATTTAGATGGACATACCCTATATATATTGCATCCATAGACAGAACACTGCTTGTAGTGCTGAATGTGTTTTCTTTGTCTTGTGATTATCTCTTAGGGAGATACTTGGCAGTGAAGAGACCTGGCCTCTTCTATTAGCTAGCAATGCAATTCCTGCTATTTTACAAGTTCTGGTTCTTCCATGGGTTCCAGAGAGCCCTAGATACCTGTTAATAGATTTAAAGGACAGGGATTCCTGTGTTTCTGGTGAGTATCTTGTGGACATTCTTCATTAACTGGTAGGATAATTTGCCACTTCAAAATATAAACTTCTCCAACTTATTTGAGGTACTGCTTACTAAAATTCATTTCTTGGCAGCATTACAGCGGCTGCGTGGGCACTGCGATCTCAGCAGTGAGATGGAGGAGATGTTGGCAGAGCAGGCAGCCATCAAAGATCAAAAGCCAAGGAACCTCCTTGGTCTAGTCCGGGATCCATTACTACGACGGCAGCTTATTACTATAGTGGTGCTCAGCAGTGCTATGCAACTGTGTGGTAATGATTCAGTAAGTCAAAATGTGTGATTCCATTTTCTGGTTTACATGATCAAGTGTCTTCTGTATTTTCCACTCTATGGCAAGATTTAAAACAGTACACATAGTGTGCATTCATAACAGTTGTCACAGTACTCTGAAAAAACATCTAAGGTGAAATTGAGGTTATGATGAGCATAGCCCCTCTCACAGACAGTATGGACCTGGCACCTTATTTCCTAAAGCAGATGAAGAAGAGCAGGCATACATCGTTATGGTACTGGCATCGCAGGCCTGCATGCATAGCGCTTGTGATTCTGGAACCTATCTAGCTGACCTAGTTGATCATACGTTGATGTTCATTGCGTATGGCATAGTCCTAATTTGCCATGAACTTCCAAAGGTGCAGTATGCAATGCACACTTCAACATTTTCAGTAAGTGAAAATAAAATTAACAAATGTGACTAACTTGCTAGTAATGTAGTAATATGCGCATCTGTTAAGCTGATTGGTAGCTAAGAAAATCCAGTGCACTATGCTGTCATAGGAAGAAAAGGTAGCATATGTACAGTTATTTGTGATCTATCATTGGAATCTCAATTTAAATTCCAAATACCAGCTTATGGAGTCTCATACTCCAGCTGATGCTTGAAATACTGTGCATGTGCATGAAGATACAGTACTTGCATTCACAGTACCGTACCCATATTCAAACCAGTTCACAAATTAGGGATTTTTACTGTCTCTTTTATGGTATCTGTGCACACTTGAACTTGACTTTATATCTCTGGATTTGTATTAATCTTTTTTACATATTGTGCACACTGTGGCTTAGCTGCCATACACTCAGGCGCTACAGCATACTTAGCAAAAGTACATGCATAATGGGTGTAAAGTAAATATTGTGCTGATACGATTTGCTTTGTCTTCTCATCATTGATGTGCAGGTGTACACATAGACTTTAATAAATCATGCTCTTTGTGTATGTTATCTGTGATTGTTCTCATTATCCAGGTCATGGTAGAGCTTATAGTAGTTAGATTGCTTACATGAATGAAATGTCAACAGAATGAGTCCAGTTCAATGTGGCTACCTACTACTTGCTATGTGTATGGTCTTTGTCATGTTTCACTTTCTTTCTCTTTTACCATCTTTATTTTTTATGAATTTAATATACTTTATTTTTTTACCCAAGTTAATCACCATGTCATTTGATTTTTTTCTCCCCAGATGTATTTTTATGCATCCTACATATTTAATGAGGCTGGGATCCCCCCAGAGAATATTCCCTATGTTGTTATTGGCACAGGGAGCTGTGAGCTCATCACTTCATTCACTTGTGTAAGTGTTCTTCTACTAATGTTTTTATTTTACCAATAAAACTTTGTTTAATCTGCAGTTAGGCTATTCAGGTCTGTGGTTGTTCATGTGAAACTTGTTATAACAATTTATGATGTACCCATGAAAATATGTATCTAGTGTTTGTGCCATTTTACGTTTTACGTCTATTCATTTATTTTTTTCTTTGTAATTGTTTTTTCAGACTTTATTCATTGACCGCATTGGTCGTCGGGCTCTAGTGATGGGAGGATACAGTATGATGTCAGTGTGGGCTGTAGTTTTTATGGTCTCTTTATCTCAGCAGGTACTAGTTCTGCACAATTCTTTTAGCAGGTTTTTCACTATTGACAAACATGGATACAGTCTCATTACTCAAACATTGCACAAGTTGTTGTGGCTTGCAGGAGCCTTTTATAGTATAATTATGTATTCTCAACTTTGACTTGTGGCATGTTGGTCTGTGCACCAACTTGACTGGAAGGTAAACAAAGCATTAGTGACTGTAAAATTGCTACAAAAAATAGCCGTTATGTTTAAAGTGACTGCAAATGTGTAATTTATTTATTACATTTTCTTTTCCTTAGGATAAAGTCAGCTGGATGCCATATCTCAGCATGGTCTGCATTTTTGCCTACATCTTGAGCTTTGGCATTGGTCCAGGTATATACAGAGCTATCAAGGTTCAAGATGATCTTCAACTCTCACTGGAGAAAACTGTTCTTTTAATACAATGCCCCCGATTTATGTTTATATACAAAACGTCTTCTGTTTTTACATCTCCTGGCTTCAATGTCAGGAACAGCAAACAGTTTTTTTTTGTATCTGAAAACGTTTCAATCCGCAGTCAGGACATAACAAATATGTAAAGCCCCCTTCACACCAGGCGGTTCGGTCGTGCGGATTTTTCCATGCTGTACCGCCAACAGTAAAAAACACATTTATTGCTATGGGGCCCGTTCACGCAAATGCGCGCAATGCCACGTTTCAATCCGCCTGCTGAGCTACTTTTTCAGCGCTGATCACCATGTTTTCCATTCAGATTTCAATGGAACCATGCTGATGAGCGCGTTTTTTTGGCGTTTGTAATTGCACTTCAGCGCTGAAACGCAATTAATAAAGGCCAGAGACGCCCTTTCAAAAATTGTGTGGAGACCGCGCTGAACCGCTACCGTCCTGGTGAGAATGGGGTTTGGGGAGGTTTGGGAGAAAACTATGTTTTAAAATATTGTCTTCTTTAAATCAAACAGAGGGGTAAGGATAAAGAATGGGTGGTAGTAGGAGCTTGGGAGTTGAGGTCAGCAATCTGTCATATATATTCCTCTCGTTAGTAGGTGGTAAAGCTTTAGATATGAATTTCTGGATGAAGGTATGAGATCCAGGGCTCTTAGACTTGCAAGAATTTAGTTTGAGTTTCTGACAGAATGCTCGTCAGTTTTATGTTCATTAAAATAACAACTAATGATCATTCCATAGAACTGCTTAGTCAAGAACTTCCTGTTATGAGTTGACCATGCGCTCTCCCTGTCTGCAATGGAGACTACAAGTGGCCATTTTAAAATACATTTTTATTACATTTATATATTACACACTTCACTGTTGTCATTATCATGAAACCTTCCCTGAAAAATGTCATGCAGCCATTGCTAGCATGTGTGTAGACTGCAGCACTGAGATGAACACATGATGAAAAAAAGTAAAAGAAGAAGAAACGTTGCATCTGTTTATAATACATGGTGCTCTAACAAACTAAGGGGCTCATTTCTAACAGAGCGCAGATATGGTTATCTATGCTAAGCACACCCTGGCCAATAACATTCATAAAAATCAGACCACAGTGTAAAGTCGGCGGAGCCCCGTGGAGTTCTCCCTAATTAACAGAGCAGACAGAGTAGAGTGTAATAGCCAGAGCTACTATTTTCTTTTAGAACTTCTGCTTTGAAGAAAGCATGAGATAAATTCATTTGTTTGTACCTTTGCCTTAGGCTTGTCATAAATGACAAGTAATGCTCCCAATTTTCATTATCAGTCTATTTCTGTGCTGTAAGAGGGCACTAATGAGGGCCTCTGACAGTCAGAGACATTATCACCCAATGAGATGTTCCAGCTTGTTGAAAAATTTCCAGTGGGTTCTGATCCTTCACTGTTATATTTAGAAGAGTGAATAATCAGAAGTATTATGTGTGTCTATGCCAGCAATCTTTTAGGCTTTAGAGGGAAGTGCAGTATCATGTACTTTGTGTGCACACACTTTGTAAATACAATATGCACGCAATATTTTCATCTAGTTTTTAAATACCTTAGTCACGAAAAAATGGATGCCAGCATTTGTGCCTTGAAAGCTAGGACAGTTCTATAAGTTTTTTTTTTTTTTTCTTGAAGTGATCTTGTTTAAAGTGTGTATTTCTGACATTGGACTATTTTCTTATTTCTTTCTGAATAATAGCTGGAGTCACAGGAATCATGCCAGCAGAGCTATTTGATCAGATGGCACGTCCAGCTGCATACATGATCTGCGGCTCCCTCATCTGGATCATGCTATTTATTGTTGGGCTAGCATTTCCCTTCATTGTGGTGAGTCAAATTTAATCATATTTTTTAACAGTTCACATTTGCGATCTACATTGTGTGTGTCGTGTATATACTGTATATACATATTTCAGCCAGCGAACCATATCGGCCGAAAATGGTACTTTTGGCCGAAGGCAGCCGAGCTGAAGGCATATGATTCGGCTCGACTTAGCCGAAGTGACAGCCGAAACGTGGAGAAAGGTCGGCCAGAGCCAAACGATCTCCACGCAAATGACAGCTGGGCGGAGCCAGCTGTAATGACAGATCAAGATTAATTTTTCTATTTATTTAAATGTTTAAAATAATTTTTTTAACTCTTCTTTTTTTTTTTCATTTCACTTATTTTATATTTTGGTTGGTACCGAGCAGAATAACCGAGCCGAATGCCGCTCAGCGGCATTCAGCTATTCACTCTCTGCTTTCGGCAGCTTTGTGAATAACCCCCATAGTAAACATACTATCTCCACAGGCTATTTCAAATGACAAAAAAATGGAGTGGATTATTTAATAACCAACTGGCCCATATACACACGGAAGAGAGCAGCTTCCAGAGGACATTCACCTTTCCATTTTTGTAACCCTCCCCTTTCAATAAAACATGAACGTGTTAATTTTTTTGAATTTACCTTTTTTTTTTATTTCTTTGTGTGGCCCTGTCCCCATTACCATTGTTGGTTAGACAAGAATTCTGTATATGCGTTATAATTAATTGAAATTAATCGATTAAAAAAAAATTCGATTAATCGAACACGAAAATTTTAATCAGTAACAGCCCTAATATATATTTATGCCAACACTGGAAATATATATTTCCAGTGTTGGTGATGTGCTAGAACTGCAGCTCCTGGGTCTTCTCTGCCGTTTTATGACATATGAGCATTATGATTGATAACTCTGGAGTTGTTTATATTGATCAAAAACTTCACATGTCTAGAGTGGCAAGAAACATATATGGTACATACAATAGCATTCATGAAGTTGCTACTCTGGCAATACTACGCTGCTGTGTTATATGTAAAAATGCTAGCTGGGCCCTTCAAGTTCAAGATACACCTTTTTTAAATGCCCAGTGTAAACAGCCATGAAAGTTTTAACATCTTTCCTTTGTATATAGATTTTCTTTGTACAGACTTTGACACATGACATAACATTTCATCTATATTGTCTGGGCATATGTCTTATGTCTTTATACCTCTTTTATCCTCTCTGCATAGATCTTCAGCCTTGTACACTTCCCTTACTCTTCTGCTATTTTGCATTTATTCACGTCTTTAGCTACTTTCCTTCTTAAATCCTTTTTTCATGCATACAGTTCTCGTGCACTGTTGCTTGTTGTTTCTAGGTATATATTAAATGAATTCCCTAAGACATTACTCTCAGTACATTTGGTGTATGGCACATTTACATTTCTACTGACTGACTTCTACTTTTCCATTCTAGCAAGGCCTTGGTCACTACTGCTTTATTCCATTCATGGTTGTTTGTGTCAGCACTGCACTGTACGTTGGATTCTTCCTCCCAGAGACCAAAGGAAAAAGTCTTCTAGAAATCACAGAGGAGTTTACAAAGTGCAGGGCAAAACCACATGAGATGGAAAATGGCTGGATTGCACCTTCGGAGATCAAATCCACCATGTTATGAGGAAGATGGAGTGTTGCACATGGTAACATCAAATGCTAGTGTAATTTTTGGGTTACATAGCATTCTTGTGGAATATTCGCCTGCAGCCATATTAAACTTAGACTTTAACTCCATTTAAACTGAAACTTGAACTGGAATTTAAGTGGAAGGTGTAAGACCCCTGCTGGCTTAACTCTTCCTGCACTGCTTTGTTTTCAGAACCTGAACATCACTCAGGTCTAAAATGAATCCTCAAATTGCTGATGTTTCTGCTTGTTGTTTCTTCTCTATTTAAACCAAAATATCTTATGTGACTATAATACTTGCACCGTATTCCTACTATGTATGGTATAATGTGTATCCAGATTGCACAGCATAAAACATTAGCAAAGTATGTTGTTTCTTCAACATTTTGTAATGATTAAAAGATTTCCCTTTGATTCAAAAATAAGTTGCCTGTGCAGCATGTACCATTGCAAAGAAAAACATAAGGGCAAGGGGTCCACAAAAATGATGATCGTGACACATAGATGGATAAGGGACCCTCTATTTTGTTTATGCTGGATACCTTTAAAGAGGAATCAGACCCCAAACATGGATGCATTACTATTTTAGGTAGCATTAAAGGCTGGTCGTTTTTTACCCTAATGCATTCTCTGCTTTAAGATAAAAAACAACCAGTACTTTTTTGTGTTCCCCGTCCCCCCCACACTTACCTGTGTCACTGCTGACCCTGCCGCCAGTCCCCAAAGCGATCCTCTGTTCCCCAAACTTTCTGGTTGCGGGGTGAGGATACTGAGGGCAGAAGAGCCATAGGCTCCTTCTGCCATCATTCACCCTATATGGAGGAGAGGAGGGGCATGGCCTGCCGCGAGGCTGTGTGTGTGTCTATGGACGCACACAACGGGCACAGCTGGAAACGTGCACGCTAGGGTGCCTTCACAGCAGCCGCTTAGCTGAGAAAGGCACCCTTGCAGGGGGTGAGGGAAAGAGCGCTGCTGGGACTCACTAGAAAATGGGGAACAGAACATTTTTGAAGAGAAAGAACAGAATATTTATAAAAAGGTAGACCACCTAGATGTAAAAATAAAGTTCCAGCGCTACTGTCCAGCATGCTACTGCAACATTAGAGACCGCTGGGGGGGTCTTGGGCCAGTGTGATCCGCTCCCGCGCCCCCCCCCCCTGTCTTGGGAGGGGGGCCCAAGATAAAACCTTGCACCAGGGCCCTTTGGTTATTAGGTCTGCCACTGACTGTAAGCACAATACCTCTGCATTTAAAGTAGATAAAAACCCTACCTGAATGATAAATAGCACTGTGTATCATAAACCATTTGCATCTCAGAGATGCTGATCTGCCTGAAAAAGACTGACCTGCCAGCCTTTTTCAGACACATGCTGTCTACATGGATTTACCAGCTAACTCCATTGGTGTGTACTGGCTTCATTATGGTCATAATGATGAATGAGGTCTGCACAATGTGTCTGCACAGCTGCTTATAGATTCCATCAGAGGTGTATGTGACAGGGTGACAATGCAGAAGCAGAACTGGGATATAGTTGTCACCCCATAACAGGAAGTTTCTAAACCAGGATCTTCAGGGAGAGAACACTGCAGAACTGGACACTACACCGGGTATGAGAAAGTAAAGTAGTATTAATAAAGGCCGGTGTCAACAGGCTTTTGTTCGCTTGTAATTGGTTTTGCCTTCCCCTGCAAGTCTATGAGAATGCAAAGCCTGCTTGAAGCAGGTCAAATGCAGGTCAGAAAGAGATGAACTGCAGGTCATATGTACCAGTCAATCATTCTTGATTTCAGAAGCATCTCAAACTGATGCCATCGACACAAACCCAAATCCCATGGACGCAGCTCATAATTCTTATTAAAAAATGGGAAACGGGTTTTATGAATATAGATGGCAGAATCTTGCCAAAACCATTACATATTCTTATTCTTTAAAAATTATCTTTGCCAACTCTGTTTAAAAAAGAAAATCTTCTTTCAGGTACTCACATTGGTCACCACATACAGAACCTGCAAAAAACGTTCTGTTGTTGAATCTGTTGTTGTCGATTTTAACCTTACCAGGTTCATAGTACCTCCTAAGGGCCCCCGCCCCCCCCTCCCCCTACCAAAAAACAAAAGTACCTACCTCCAGAATACGTTCCCATGCCTGCGCCGTCTCCTTCTCTTCAGCAATGCCCCTGCTGGCTCTGACGTCAGAGCTGAAGAACCGATCACTCCGCCGCTCACTGCTGCAAAGCCCACCATAGACCCAGCACAGCCCCCAGAGACCCTGCAGAGCCCACCATAGACCGGGCAAAGCCCACCTCAGACCTTGCAGAGCCCACCTCAGACCCAGCACATACCAGAGGCCCACCTGAGACCCTGCAGAGCCCACCTAAGAACATGCAGAGCCCACCTAAGACCATGCAGAGCCCATAAAGACCCTGCACAGCCCACTCGAGACCCTGCACAGCCCACCTGAGAGTGATCCTGCAGAGCCCACCATAGACCCCACAGAGCCCACCATAGGCCTGGTACATACCAGAGACCCTGTATAGGCCACCTGAGAGTGACTCTGCAGGGTTTTAGGTGGGGGGCTAGTCGGGGGTCCCTTTCCCTCCACTCCTCTCCCCTGTCAGCCTCGGGCTGCCCGCTGCTGGGCCCCTGGCTTCCTCCACCTCTGCCGCCACTGACGGGCCCCTAG